GAATCACAATTAGAATTAAAAAAAAAAAAAATCAAAGATTCTGAATTAGAACCATGTGAAAGCAATCATAGAAATCAAAGAACAAATCTCCCAAAGGAGCGGGTGGTGATGACTTTCTAGAGATAAATATAACTCAAACACAGAAATCTAACTTCCTGCCTGGGCAACACAGTAAGACCCTATCACTATAAAAAAAAATGTTTAACAATTAGCAGGCCGTGGTGGCACACCTGTAGTCCCAACCACTGTGGGGGTGGGGCTGAGGTGGGAAGGTCTCTTGAGCCCAGGAGGTGGATGGTGCAGTGAGCTGTGATCGCACCAGTGCACCCAGCCTGAGCCACAGAGTGAGACCCCATCTCAAAAAACAAAAAACAAATCTAACTTCCTCATTCCAGTTAAAAAAGGAAACACCACAGAAAATGTGAAGTAAAAAAAATAAAATATAGAAATATCAGGCCGGGCACAGTGGCTCACGCCTGTAATCCCAGGACTTTGGGGAGGCCGAGGTGGGTGGATCACGATGTCAGGAGACCCACACCATCCTGGCTAATACTGTGAAACCCCATCTCTACTAAAAATACAAAAACAAAATTAGCCGGATGTGGTGGCAGGCACCTATAGTCCCTGCTACTCAGGAGGCCGAGGCGGGAGAATGGCGTGAACCAGGGAGGTGGAGCTTGCAGTGAGTTGACATCAGGCCACGACACTCCAGCCTGGCCAACAGAGTGAGATTCCATCAAAAAATAAAAAAATAAAAAAAATAAAAAAAATAAAAATAAATATATATATATATACACACACACAAGAAAAGTGCATCTACATATCTTATTCTTTCAGAAATTCCTACCAGACACAGTACTAATGGCTGGACTATATTTTCTGAGGACGCATTTTTTTGCAGCTAGTAATAAAAAGTACTAGTATTTAACATTAATCAAGTACTTACTACACACTTGGGACTATTCTTAGAATTTTACATGTATTAACTTCTGGAGCTGCACAACCACCCTTTGAATCAAATATTGCTATTATCTGTATACTATGAAATGAGCAACTGAGGCCCAAGGTTTAAGTACCTACCTGAGGTCCCCAAGGTAAAAAGTGGCAGAGGAAGGAGTTAACACAGGAAGTCTGGCTCCTTGGCCTATGCCTTCCTTTAAAAAAAAAAAAAAAAAAAAAAAATTAGCTCACGCCTGTAATCCCGGCACTTTGGGAGGGCGAGGCAGGCGGATCACATGAGGTCAGGAGTTCGAGACCAGCCTGGTCAACATGGTGAAACCCCATCTCTACTAAAAATGCAGAAATTAGCCAGGCATGGCAGCACACTGCACTCCAGCCTGGGTGACAGAGCAAGACTCTATCTCAAAAAAATAAAATAAAATAAAACAAAAAATAAATTTTAGTATATATATTACATTCATACAGTTAGAAAACAAACATAAATGCCTATTTGCCTTTGCCCTGTCTATTCCAGTAGCCCCACCCCCAACAGATAGCCAGTTTTATTAGTTTCTTATGTATCTTTTGAATTTTTTTTTTTTTTTTGAGACAGAGTTTCACTCTTGTTGCCCAGGTTGGAGTGCAATGGCGCGATCTCTGTTCGCTGCAACCTCCGCCTCCTGGGTTCAAGCGATTCTCCTGCCTCAGCCTCCCGAGTAGCTGGGATTAACAGGCATGCACCAGGCCAGCTTGCTAATTTTGTATTTTTAGTAGAGTTGGGGTTTCTCCATGTTGGTCAGGCTGGTCTCAAACTCCTGACCTCAGGTGATCGGCCCGCCTTGGCCTCCCAAAGTGCTGGGATTATAAATACATATTCTTATTACCCCTTCTCTTATTCCAAATGCATCATGCATCATACTCTACATTCTGAACCTTGCTCTCTCTCAGTTAACAATACATTTGGAAGTTATTTCAGTCTCAGTATATAAAGAGCTTCCTCCTCATTCTTTTCTACAGCTATGTATGATTTTGTTGTATCGATGTACACCAAACTCCCAACGATGGGCATGAACTGTTTTTTTTTTTCTTTCTTCTCTCTCTCTCCTTTCTTTCTTTCTTAAGACAGGGTTGGCCGGGCGCAGTGACTCGTGTCTGTAATCCTAGCATTTTGGGAGCCCGAGGTGGGCAGATCACTTGAGGTCAAGAGTTAGAGGCCAGCCTGGTGAAACCCCTTCTCTACTAAAAATACAAAAAACTAGCCAGGCGTGGTGGCGGGCACCTGTAATCCTAGCTACTCGGGAGGCTGAGGCAAGAGAATCGCTTGAACCCAGGAGGTGGAAGTTGCCACCAGCACAGATTGTGCCACTGCACTCTAGCCTGGGCAACAGAGAGACTCCATCACACACACAAAAAAAAGACAGGGTCTGGCTGTCAACCAAGCTGGAATGCAGTCGCCAGGATCTCTGCTCACTGCAGCCTTTACCTCCTGGGCTCAAGTGATCCTCCCACCTCAGCCTCCCAAGCAGCTAGGACTACAGATCTCACTATGTTGCCCAAGCTGATCTCTAACTCCTGGACTTGAGCCATCTTCCTGCCACGTCTGAGCACCACGCCCGGCCTGAGGCTTTATATTTTAAAATGTGTCGGGCCCCCACCTCCCCACATCTCAACGCCTTTTTTTTTTTTTTTTGAGAGGGAGTCTCGCTCTGTCGCCCAGGCTGGAGTGCAGTGGCGCAATCTCGGCTCACTGCAAGCTCCGCCTCCCAGGTTAACGCCATTCTCCTGTCTCAGCCTCCCCCGTAAATGGGATTACATGTGCCCACCACCACGCCCGGCTAATTTTTTAATATTTGTTTTAGTAGAGACAGGGTTTCACCGTGTTAGTCAGGATGGTCTTGATCTCCTGACCTCATGATCCGCCCACCTCGGCCTCCCAAAGTGCTGGGATTACAGGCATGAGCCACGGCGCCTAGCCAACGCCTTTTATTTTTCAGTTACTGGCTCTTGCAGCTTGTTTATTTTTCCATAGTAAGTCTAGGATCAGTTCCCCTAGTTCCAAAAGAGAAAAGCCTGTCCATACTTTTACTAGGATCACATTATTATTATTATTATTATTATTATTATTATCATCTGAGACGGAGTCTCGCTCTTGTCCAGGCTGGAGTGCAGTGGCGAGATCTCGGCTCATTGCAACCTCCGCCTCCCGATTCAAGCGATTCTCCTGCCTCAGCCTCCACAGTAGCTGAGATTACAGGCGCCCGCCACCACACCCGGTTAATTTTTTTAGTTTTTTATTTTTATTTTTTAGTAGAGAAGGGATTTCACAATGTTGGCCAGGTTGGTCTCGGACTCCTGACCTCAAGTAATCCATCCACCTCGGCCTCCCAAAGTATTACAGGCACCAGCCACCGCGCCCGACCAAGATCACATTTAATTTCATACATTTACTTAAGTTTGCGCACACTTCTTAATGTCACATGGTATATTTATTTGTTCACATGTCATGCCCCTTAGTAGTATTTTAAAGTTCTTTCCCAATAGTTTTGAACCTTTCCTAAGTTTCTTCCACAATACTTTATCTTTTTGCTGCTATTGTAAATATTAGTTTTCTTCAATTATGTATTCTAATTGATATCTGTAAATCAGAAAGCTATTTATTTGTAGATATTAATTTGGTACTCAATTAATTTAACTTTTTATAATTTAAAACTATGTCAATGACGACGGCGGGCGGGGGGTGACTTCCTTAGAAAAAGCATCTTTGGAGACGTCAGTAGTTTTCTTTATCACTTCACAAAATCCATACAACCTGAGAACGCCTCGACTCACTAAGAAATTAAGACACCTAGGATTTAGTCCAGACTCATAGATAAACACAGCAACAATTAAGCTTTCTTCAAAAAATGAGGATAACTGCCTAACCTAAAACCTTTGACTCCTTCATCCTGGGCGCCGTTATATGGCATTGCTTCTTAAAGCGTACAATGTTATTTAACCTAGGGCTCTGCTTAACGGCCTTATTAAAATACCCCAAAGATTTAGGGATTTGAACAGTTTGAAGCAGGCACCCCGAAACAAAAGTTCTGAAACACTCATTTAAAAAAAAAAAAAAAGTGACGGTGATTTGCATTCCACTCCAATTAAAAAGAAATGCTTTTATATAAAAACTCGTTTTTAAATTATTCAACACTTAGCTTTTCCACCCCTTCCATTTTCAAGTAGAAAAGACGCTCCAGGAAGATGGCACCGTTATAATTATCAGCACTTTCCACAAGGGAAGTGCAGCTCAAACCTTATACCTCAATGTTGGTCTCCTACATCTCCCTCTTAGGCACAATCACACACAATCCCACACCCAGTTTCACATTCACTCAACAATCCCAAACATCGGGTCAAACTTTGCGGACAAACTCAGGGTCACACTGGCTCAAACCCGCCTCAGAGGCCCCCACCTCCGCCCTGCACGTAGGCCAGAAGCTCTTAGACCCACTCCCTGCCCTCGCGCCGCGCCCCTAAAGATCAGGAATCCTCCCCTTTAACCTCCCCGGTCCGACCGACCCGAGACGCCCAGATCCCACCTCCTACTTTCGCGCCACGTGGACCCAGGGGCCGTACTGACCCGCGGACAAAGACCAAAATGTCCACTCGGTGCGCTACGCTTGCGCACTCCGAAGGCGAGGAAGCACTCCCAGAAGTCTCCGCGACGCGGCCCGCCTCGGTCACCGCGGCCAGGCCCAGGCTGGTACTGAATTACCTTCTATTACCAGCAACGCCGCTTCTCAGGCCTTGGACTACATTTCCCTTGAGGCTTTACTGGTCGACTCTCTGTCTCCTCCCTTTCCCCCGCGAACCTGGCTGCCTCCTTCTGTGACGATGGAGCTCTTGAGGTAAGTAGTCCTTTAGCGTTAGATGACTTCAAGCTTGCTGGAGGGGCTGGAGTGGCGACGCCCTCTCCGAAGCCTCGCGGACGCAAAAATGTCAAAACGGGCCAGGCCCCGACTCAGAAATAAGAGAACGCCATTTTGTCTCTGGCCGATGTGGCTCTGGACTACAATTCCCAGAGCCCACAGCGGCCTGACGTTACGTCGTTCTTGACGTCGTGGCGAGCTTGTTAGCTCCGCAAGGACCCGGACGCGACCAGGGGAGGCAGAAGGTGAGGGGTCTGGGAGTCCTGGGCGGGGCCGGGGCGTGTCCGGAGACTCGGATCTGTGCGCGCAGGCGGGAGCGGGCTGCGGATGCGCGGTTCTGAATGTGTCTTTGTGACTGTATGGCCGGGTGTGGGTGTCTGCAACTGTGCAGGTGTAACCGCCTGTCTCCAGGGTGTCTGTCTGGTGGTTTTTTTTGTAACCATGTGTGATAGTGAGTAGCGGGGTGCAGGGTCCTTGTGACTGGGGGTGATACTGCGTGTGTCCCCGTTGTAGATGTGGCCTGTTCGCCCTGTTCCTGGGGTGTGAGTACAGTTGTGACTGACCACTGCGGGTGTGTGGTTGTGATTCATGTCTCCAAGGTTTATGCGTGGTTTTGGTTGTCTGTGCCTGTGACTATGCGGTGACGCCGCTTGTGTGTTCCTGTGTCCCTTGGTGTGTGTGGGGGCAGCGGGGTGAGTGGTGCTGTGTATGCAGGAGTGGGGTGCCACTGCTTGTGTGAGTGTGACTGTGTGTATGTCCACAGTGAAAGTTCAGTTGTGACTGGGTACCGTAAAGTGCCAATGATGGTGTGTGTCCCCTAAGTGGGTGTATGATTGTGACTACATGAGGAATTTGTGGGTGTTGGTATGTGGGACTTGTGACTATATGGGAGTGACTGTGTATCACAGTGGAGAGTAGATTGTGTGACTAGGTGTGTCTTAGCGGGTATGTGATTGTGACTGGAAGGGTATTGTGACTGGAAAGGTATGGAGGTGAAAGTGAGTCTGTGATTGTGTACTGTGTCTCAAGAGTGAATGTAGGGCCGGGTGTGGTGGCTCACATCAGCACTTTAGGAGGCCGAGGTGGGAGAATCACTTGAGCCCAGGAGTTCGAGACCAGCCTGGCCTGTACAAAAAAAAAATTAAAGGCCAGGCTCAGTGGCTCACGCCTGTAATCCCAGCACTTTGGGAGACCGAGGTGGGTGAATCACATGCGGTCAGGCGTTCTAGACCAGCCTGGCCAACATGATAAAACCCCATCTCTACTAAAAGTACAAAAATTAGCTGGGTGTGGTGGCAGACGCCTGTAATCCCAGCTGTTCCAGGGGCTGAGGCAGGAGAATCGCTTGAACCCAGGAGACAGAGGTTGCAGTGAGCCGAGATCGCACCATCGCACTCTAGCCTGGGGGACAAGAGCAAGACTTCATCTCAAAAAAATAAAATAAAATAAAAATTATCTGAGTGTGGTGGCCCGCGCCTGTGGTCCCAGCTACCCAGGAAGCTGAAGTGGGAGGATCTCGAACTTGAGAGGTCAAGGCTGCAGTGAGCTGTGTTTGAGCCACTGCACTCCAGCATGGGTGACAGAGCGAGACCCTGTCTCGAAAATATAAAAGGGTGGATTTGTGGTTATGTTTGTGTGACACTAACTATATGTGCAGCACAAAGTGTGCTAGTGACTCTAGTGCTTGACCCATGCAGAACCTTTGAAGTTAGGACAGATTCTGGCCCTGTACAGTAGTGACCTCAGCCTTCCTGAGTGACACTGGATTTAGGCAAATGCATGGTCTTCTCTGATCACACTCCCCTATGTGGTAGGGAAGGGGGATGATGGTTCAAAAATGACCTGGTTGTTCATGATTCCATTCTCTTAACCCTTCTCCAAGAAAGGTGCCAAGTTCAAGTACATCAGGTTTTATTCTGTTTCCCTGAAATCCTTCTTGTTTTTCAGGACATGCTTTTCTTTCCTTCTGTAACTTCAGAACCACGGCACCATCACCCTCACCCCCACCAAAGTAACCTGGTCTCCAGTATTTGCCATAGGAGTAATTTACTGGATGCCTTGGAGATGTACTGAAAGGCCTATATCCTCTCTGCTCCCTGCATACCTAATGTTCTTTTAAATTTTTTTCTTTGCTTTTAATTTTGAATTAATTTAATACTTTAAAATGTTACAAAAATAGAATTCCTATTTACTCTTGTTTTTTTCTTTCTTTTCTTTTCTTTTTTTTTTGAAATGGAGTCTTGCTGTGTCACCCAGGCTGGAGTGCAGTGCTGTGATAGCTCACTGCAACTTCCGCCTCCCCGGCTCAAGCGATTCCGCTTCTGCCTCAGCCTCCTGAGAAGTTGAGATTACAGGCATGTGCCGCCACACCCAGCTGACTTTTTATAATTTTAGTAGAGACGGGGTTTCACCATGTTGGCCAGGCTGGTCCGAACTCCTGGCCTCAAGTGATCCTCCTGCCTCAGCATTCCAAAGTGCTGGGATTAGAGATGTGAAACACCATGTCTGGTCTCCATTTTCCTTTTTGTAACTCCTTTGACACGCACAGCCAATTTTTTGTATTTTTAATACAGACGGGGTTTCACCGTGTTGATCATTTATTTTGTAGAGTCTGTAGTGTAGAATGTTCCTCTCTTTGGGATTATCTGATATTTCCTGTTGATTAAATTCAGATTCTGCCTTTGGGGCAAGAATACTCCAATAGCAATGTACCCTTCTGAGTGCATCATGCCAGGGACCCACGAGGTCAATTTGTTACACTATGAGTGGTATTAATTTTAACCGCTTGGTTAAGATGGTGATTGCCAGATTTCTCTGCTGCAAAGTCACTGTTTTTCCCATTATAATTGATACGTGTCTCGTGAAGAAATACTTTAAGCCTATGTGACTATCCCGTTTCTTATCCTACTTTCATTATTAGTCTTATCCATCGATGACGCTTGCCTGAAAAAGTTGTTACCAGCTATTTGTCAAATTGTGGGGTTTTTTGGTTTGTTTCTATCATCCCTTCTATGTTTATCAATTAGAATATATTTTGTGTGTGTGTGTGTGTGTGTGTGAGATGAAGTTTGGCTCTTGTTGTCCAGCCTGGGAACGCAGTGGCACGATCTAGGCTCACTGCAGCCTCTGCCTCCTGGGCTCAAGCGATTCTCCTGCCTCAGCCTCCCAAGTTGCTGGGATTACAGGCATGCGCCACCATGCCCGGCTAATAATTGTATTTTTAGTAGAGATGGATTTTCACCGTGTTGGACAGGCTGGTCCCGAACTCCTGATCTCAGGTGATCTGCCCACCTTGGCCTCCCAAAATGCTGGTATTACAGGCGTGAGCCACCTTACCCAGCCTTATTGATTAGAATCTTACTGTTAGAAAGATATTTTTCTTCTTCCCCATTTATTTATTTACTTTCTTCTGTAGGTTATAATTTCTTTTATTCTATAGGTTATATATTCATTGCTATCATTATTTTTTCACTGAAATTATCACACATTTGGCCACTAGGAGCCTTTCTAATTGATTCCTGTGTCCTTTCAATGTGGCCTCTTTATTTATTATTTTTATTATTTATTTTCTGGCACTGCAAGGTGTTCCACATTGATATGGTACTTTCTCTGCCTCAGTCCTGGAATCTACAAATTTCCCAGGGACCATTGGTTCCTTTTATTAGAAAATGATTTTTTTCAGCCAGGTGTGGTGGCAAGTACCTGTAGTCCCAGCTACTCGGGAGGTTGAGGCGGGAGGATTGGTTGAGCCCGGGAGGCAGAGGTTGCAGCAAGCCAAGATTACACCACTGCATTCCAGCCTGGGTGATGAAACAAGACCCTGTCTCAAAAAAAAAAAAAAAAAGATTTTTTGAAACCAAGGTTAGATATCTTCATTGCTTCTGAGATTTCATTGCTTCCAGGTCCTCTCAGCTATGAAATATGTTTGTATGTATGTATATACAAATAATTCATGAGTTCATATAGTATCTCCAATTTCAGTGCAACACTACAGGGTTCATTCTAGACTTCTCTCCATTTCCTTTTTTTTTTTTCTTTTGAGACAGAGTTTTACTCTTGTTGCCCAGGCTGGAGTGCAATGGCGCCATCTCGGCTCACTGCAGCCTCCACCTCCTGGGTTCAAGCAATTCTCCTGCCTCAGCCTCCCGAGTAGCTGGGATTACAGGTGCCCACCACCACACCCAGCTAATGTTTTTTTGTATTTTTAGTAGAGACGGGTTTTTGCCATGGTGATCAGGCTAGTCTCAAACTCCTGACCTCAGGTGATCCTCCCACCTCCGCCTCCCAAAGTGCTGTAATTACAGGCATGAGCCACCACGCCCGGCCTCCATTTCATTTTTTTAAAATATAATTTTAAAATTTTTTTGTGGAGACAAGGGTCTCACTATTTGCGCAGGCGGGTCTCGAGCTCCTGACCTCAAGTGATGCTCCTTCCTCGGCATCCCAAAGTTCTGGGATTATAGATGTGAGCCATCATGTCTTGCCTCCGTTTTCCTTTTTGTAACTCCTTTCTTTGACCTTGAAAATTGTGGCTCACATGAACCGTAATATGTTTTATTTATTTGCTCAGTCCTGTGTAAAAAGTAATTTAAGAATTGCTGACCTCCACATACCATGCAGTTCTTTTTGTCTTTAGTCTTACAGTATATAGTGAAAATACAGTTTTCTAAAACTACTTTCTTCCCTAAACCCTTTGTATTCATAATATTTATGTGTAATATAGATTGTTCATGTGTTACTGTTTGTATTTTATTTTGGGTTCCCCACACATCCTGGTTGAGTTTAATGATTTTTCAGAGTGTGTGAAACAATCACATTGTTCTAAAAGTCAGAATCAGACAAAAGGATTTACTGAGTCACTCTTCCATCATTTCTTCTCTCCTAATGCCATTGCCCATTGTTTTTTGTTTGTTTGTTTGTTTTTGGTTTTTGCTTTTTTTTTTTTTTTTTTTTTTTGAGACAGAGTCCTGCTCTGTCACCCAGGCTGGAGTGCAATGGCCCAATCTCGGTTCACAGCAACCTCTGCCTCTTGGGTTCAAGCAATTTTCCCACCTCAGCCTCCTGAGTACCTGGGATTACAGGCATCCACCATCATGCCCGGCTAATTTTTGTGTTTTTGTGGAAATGGGGTTTCACCCCGTTGCTGCCTGCCTCGGCCTCCCAAAGTGCTGGGATTATAGGCATGAGCCACCATACCCGGGCCCCATTCTTTCTACCCAGTTCCCACTTACCTATTTCAGTAACC